ATGTGATTTATCTATTTCTGTGACCAAATTACATGACATGTATTGTAAATGTGATTTATCTATTTCTGTGACCAAATTACATGACATGTATTGTAAGTGTGATTTATCTATTACTGTGACCAAATTACATGACATGTATTGTACATGTGATTTATCTATTACTGTGATCACATTACATGACATGTATTGTAAATGTGATTTATCTATTACTGTGACCAAATTACATGACATGTATTGTACATGTGATTTATCTATTACTGTGATCACATTACATGACATGTATTGTAAATGTGATTTATCTATTTCTGTGACTAATTACATGACATGTATTGTACATGTGATTTATCTATTACTGTGACCAATTACATGACATGTATTGTACATGTGATTTATCTATTTCTGTGACCAAATTACATGACATGTATTGTAAATGTGATTTATCTATTTCTGTGACCAAATTACATGACATGTATTGTACATGTGATTTAAATCACATTTACAATATGTGTCATGTAATTTGGTCACAGAAATAGATAAATCACATTTACAATACATGTCATGTAATTGGTCACAGAAATAGATAAATCACATTTACAATACATGTCATATCTATTTCTGTGACCAAATTACATGACATATATTGTAAATTGGATAAACTATTGTTTCAACATTACATAAGAATATTGATGTATTGTAGAAGAAAAAAATTAACATGCTTAAGTTTTATGTTTTTCAATTTGAGGCCTGTATCTTTATTAAACTTTGGGTATGCCACCAATATAATGTATAGGCTTATGCACAAAAGCAAAGATACAATATTCTCTCCCACTTTTACACTTAATGTAACATTTTTTATCGATAAAATTTCTACCTACAAAAGATTCATGAATATACTTCAGTAATCCAAGTTAACCCCTGTGATTTTGTATCTTGAAAAGCAACAAGATGACAAATCTTGTATTTTTTTATACGTACAAAAATACATTAAATAACTGTGTGTGTGTGTGTGTGTGTGGAGAGAGAAAGAAAAATATTACTAATGATATCCAATAATACAATTAACTGAATATTTGTAGCAATACCTACATTAAATGTATTTTTAAAAAGACCAGGATTCTAAACTTAACAAAAGATGTTCCTGTGAAACCAACAGTGTAGTGTTCTGATTGAATTGTTAATTATATTTTCCAAGTCAAATCAACTAGTAGTTTAATTTATGAACTTAATATGTTTTTAAATAGTTTTCAAAAACTATCTCCAATGTGTTTTACTTTCCAACTGAAATGAGTTAGCCAGAGAATTGTCTCCCCCTGTAGCAAACCTATTATAGCAATATCATGCACTACTAAAACCAGAATTAGGTCCTGTCTTTATATTTTTATTTTCTCATTCCATTTCAGATCTAGCATGATAATTTTGACTATCATCACAGATTTAGAGAGCAAGACAATCTCCAAATGTAGGTCTCATTCAGTAACTCACTTTGTCACAATTCACGTATACAACACTGTTATAATCTACTTTGTACTTTGTGGATAGGATGCTGCAGGGTATAATGTAGGTCTCATTCAGTAACTCACTTTGTCACAATTCACGTATACAACACTGTTATAATCTACTTTGTGGATAGGATGCTGCAGGGTATAATGTAGGTCTCATTCAGTAACTCACTTTGCCACAATTCACGTATACAACACTGTTATAATCTACTTTGTACTTTGTGGATAGGATGCTGCAGGGTATAATGTAGGTCTCATTCAGTAACTCACTTTGTCACAATTCATGTATACAACACTGTTATAATCTACTTTGTACTTTGTGGATAGGATGCTGCAGGGTATAATGTAGGTCTCATTCAGTAACTAACTTTGTCACAATTCACGTATACAACACTGTTATAATCTACTTTGTGGATAGGATGTTGCAGGGTATAATGTAGGTCTCATTCAGTAACTCACTTTGTCACAATTCACGTATACAACACTGTTATAATCTACTTTTTGGGAAACTTGATTTCTGTGAATACGTGCCCTCTGGAAGTAAAACTTTGTACTTTGTGGATAGGATGCTGCAGGGTATAATGTAGGTCTCATTCAGTAACTCACTTTGCCACAATTCACGTATACAACACTGAGCTTTATTCTTATATTCTACTTTTTAGGGAAACTTGATTTCTGTGAAAGTAAAATGTTGTACTTTGTGGATAGGATGCTGCAGAGTATAATGCAAAAAAGCTGAAATGCATATTTGTACACGAATACATAGATATCCTGGATACCGAAATGGAATACTACTTTTTTTTTTCTTCAAATATCAAAATGAGTATGACCATCAAATTAGAAAAAAAAAGAAATAATTTGTCTTTCAACAAATTCCAAATTTTACAGGAATTTCCATCATTCCAAGAGTTGCTTATGAAAGCTGTTTCATACAAGAAATGTACATCTTTAATAAACTTTCAAAAATGTATCACTGTGTCAAAAAGACAAACTGAAATGATTAAATTTGAATAATGGAATGAAATGTTACAACTCACCCTGGTGCAAAACTCATAAAGAATAAGGCCTGCTTCGATGTTGATTTACTGTTCGTGCTGAAAGCTAGGGATATTTTTATGTCATCTTTTCCTTCACTGTCTGCTGTAAATTCATATTTAACTACTGAATCTCCATTAAAAGCTCCACCAATATCTGAAAACGTTAAAACAAACATTAAAATCTAAAATGGCATTAAGTCAATTCGTTATATACAAGACATAAAAGTCAATGTAATATAAATAAAGTTTACTACCTTATGTCTGAAAACCTTAAATTCAATGTTTTGAAAAAATCTAACAAAACGTTTCATCAAATATTCTATTCTAGATCAAGTTTGGCATTCACTTCTTAGAAATGATACATAAATAGCAATGTACTTCATTAATATTTTACATCTTGACCAAAAACAAACATGTAAAGATAATCCTAGAGTTTACTTGCTATTAATTGTTTTTTAAAGTAATCTAAGTATTACCCAGATGAAGAAAGCTGATAATGGAATTTCATACAGTGGATTGCACACTGTTCTTAAATTGTCAATGATGGTGCTTGTTCATTTCTCTTTATGTATGGGGGTTGAGTGGTCCGATAGCTGCACTGCACAGTTTGTTTTATTATTTAAACATTCTACATACTATCACTTCTACGAGATGAGAAATAATTTCATATTTCTTGTTCACTTTTCCTATGTAAGAATATACTTAAACACACATTGTTTACTGAGTAAATAAACAACATGAAATTTGTCTGTGATCAAACTTATAGGACCTTTGAACTCTTTACTGTATTTGGATTAGGATGAACAGTCAATGGATTACAGTTTTGTCTTATCTAATAAAAAACATTCAATAAGCTTGTTATAATGGAATACTTTAAAGCAAATTTTTAAACATAAACTCTTACCAAAGAATTATTACAAAATGTTACCTTAATTACAACAACAAGAAAAAGATTTATAATAAAATGTCATATAAATTACAAATTCACTAAGAATAAAATGCATAAAACAAAATAACTTAGTGGTTTAATAAAGTGTACGTGATAGATAAGGAAGCACTTTTAACTACTACTAGACTACCCGTGACCCGTTGGGTCACTATTCAGAGGTTATGAAGAATTCAAGCTAATTACAATATTGCACTGAAATGAAGGTTTATTTTGAGATAACTTAATTAAATATTTCAATCCATTTGTGTTATTCATAATTCAAGAAAATATTTTTAATTTTGATCGGGAGTAAAAGGTAAGACCATTTCATTTTTCAAAAAAGTGAGGTAAGAAGTTTCGTAAAGAGCACAAATGGTAGTGTGAATGATTCTTTAACTGAGAAAATAAGCAAACAAACAAACAATCTCAGAGTTTTAGTAGTATATAGATAGATTATTCAAGATCTTGTTTTTGTCATCTGAAGCCTTTTAATGAAGATGGGAACATTGACAAGGAAATAATATAATAGGCAATGCTCGGCAAGAGGTTTTTGTTTATAAAATTTCGTTGTTGTTCTCGACTTGATTTTTATTTTATTACCTCGTCTCCATAGTTACTATTTGCAAATAGCCAATAATATTGTAGGTCCATTTTATTGTTGTTCTTTCTACGCGCCGTTATAACACATTTTCATCTCATCATTTAATTTCTGTTGTGCATATATTGTTGTATAAATGAAGTTTTATAATAATGGAATGTACGAAAAGTTACCCGAAAAATGGGACTAACTCGGTAACCCGTGGCCAGATTTTAACGAAACTTGTTTTATTCTGTTTCTATTCTCATTTCATTACAAATATGGTGCTATTGTGCCCCGTTTTTTGCTGTATTTAATTACAGATGAGCACACACAATCTCAGAGTTTTTGTAGTATATAGATAATGCTTACTGTTTCTATTATTGACACAAGTGATAAAAAAAATTGGCAAAAATTAAATATGGTGTAGGGTTGGCAATACCAAAAAGTGCAGAAACAAGGAAGGGATGAATAGCTAAGTAGTAGTTTTCCTTTTTTATTATTTCCACAAAAATACAAGTGGTAGAAGAACAGAATAATATTACTGTTATATAAACTGAGAAACACTCAAAAATGGTGGCAATTAGGTGCTCAAATCAGGCTATAACTCAACTTTAGCAGTAAGTATCATAGAGTAACAGATTGAATGCAGTGGCCATTTTTTCTCAGCTCATCCCTACATACTGAGCACCACCATGTTTAGTGATAGCCCGTTCCCAAGTACTCTTAAAATGTCTTTCTGTCGTACAAAAGCCATCATGAAAACTTCACTCATTATTTTTGGACAACATGGGGGAAGAAAAACAAAGATGAACACTTTGATTCTTTAACTAGTTTCCAGTTCTTCACTTTAGCAACACTTTTCAATGACACTAGGAGTCTCACAAGCTATGAAACACTTCAAAATGGTAATTAGGTACTTAAGTAAGGCTATAACTCAACTTTAGCAGTTATTTGTAAATATCATAAAGTAATAGATTGATTGTTGCATCCATTCTTTCATCAGCATCCCTACTTAGTGACGAAGTGTAGAGTACCCCATAATATGTTACTTACTTCTTTCATCAGCATCCCTACTTAGTGATGAAGTGTAGAGTACCCCATAATATGTTACTTACTTCTTTCATCAGCATCCCTACTTAGTGATGAAGTGTAGAGTACCCCATAATATGTTACTTACTTCTTTCATCAGCATCCCTACTTAGTGATGAAGTGTAGAGTACCCCATAATATGTTACTTACTTCTTTCATCAGCATCCCTACTTAGTGACGAAGTGTAGAGTACCCCATAATATGTTACTTACTTCTTTCACATGTCTCCCCCAAATAAGAAGTAAGAGAACAATCACATGTAGTGGCATTGTTCTTGAAATCTTCTAAACATGTACCCCCATGTTTGCATGGTTGAGTGTCACAAATCATGTTGCATCCTGGGCGAAGCTCACCTACATTTGAAAACATACAAGTGTAATATATCACAACAATACTAATTTTAAGACTTGGACATACTGTCAAAGTTTCTATAAATAGATTTCTAAGTATCAACACACTCAAAAATGACAATACTGATGACATATCAAATAAGAATTTGTAACAAAAGACACCTACACAAGCATGAGGTAAATTACTGGCACATAAGTTTACATATTCAATATGCATATATATCACTAAAATTAACAAAGGTGACTGAAAATCACTAAAAGTAGAATTTATAGCCTTATAGAAATAATTGCTATTTCCTTAATATTAAAAAGGATTTTAATTAATAATTAAAGCAAATTTAAATGAATTCAACTTCTTGTCACTTTTTACTAAAAGTTAATTTCAGCTCATAACACTACCTTATTTCAATTCAATAGTTGAAAAAAAGAATTACTCAAAATTTTGAAAAATTAATTACATGAATAATAAACCATACACAAAATTATAATATAGTACTATAAGCTGAAAATTTTCATCCACTTTTTCAGAAAATCAGAGTTTGAGCTAAAATTTTCGGTTATTTGAACAAATGAAACTATTTACAAATATTCAAGTTGATTTACTACTCGGGTATTATTTAGTAAGACTACTATGACAGATTTTCTTTAAGAAATGACAAGTATAAAATATTTTAAGAGGATTTTTAAGGCACTTTTTTACTGTTTAGATCTAGATTACTGTCTTTAATCAATGAGATTTAATTCCAATTAAACAGTCTAATGTTGAATAATCACAATCTAATAAAACAATAAATATAAAGAAAAAATAAAATCATCAATCACAGACAAGCTCTTAAACTACTACTTATGACTATTTATGAATCATACTGGGATATCATACGTACTTTTAAAAGGTTTGATGAAACTGACTTTGAATTTAAATTTACAAAACTTGGCAAATAGTTCTAGAAAATGTGTGTATTACTGGAATTTAAACATTTCTGTACTTCACATGAATAAGACATTTGCCAACACTTAATCAAGTAGCACACACAATAAGCATTTATTTGGTACAACAAAACAACACGTGAATCTTAATGCCATGGCTCTTCAAAACCCCTTTTACTTTGTTGTAATGTGAAAAGTAAGCCAAAATAGACAAGTTGTTTATAATCCCCCAGAAAGAGATATACTTGATGTATCATCAAAGTTTCAGTCATTTCCCCAATCTGGAGTTAGGATCATAGTTTGTGTGTTTAAGAAAGAAAAATTAGTTGTTTTTATACAAGTTTCAAAGCATGTTATCTGTTGTTGCAGGACATAAAGTGTTTTCATAGTAGAAGAGATACAAAATATCACATATAAAACAATAGTAAATAAACTATGACTTTAGTAAAATGAAAACTTACAATTCAATTTTCCTATTTCTTTTAAAATGTTATTTTTAAAATTTGCTACTAACTTACTTCATGTATTTGTAAATTTTGTTAATTTTAGAAAAATAACAAATACACTTAAATATATATTTTCATTTTTGTTTTGAATTCGTTAGTACAACTATTGTCTAAATATAAAATTGCACATGATCAGTTCTTTAACATTTAAGGAATCTTTTTTTTCTTTTTTTCAAACAAGATAAATAGTAACAAACTAACCTTTTTCTGAACTTCCATCTCTTGCTATTGCTTCCAAGTCAAAATTAGAATCCCCTATTTGAAGTCCTTGCAGACAACCTACAAAACCAGGAAGTCTTGAGACCAGTGTTTCTGTATCTACTCCACCGAGGAAAGTTTCACTATGAGGCACAGTTGGGTAGGACCCACGGGCAGGCTCAACTAATTCTACAGAAAGCAAACAATACATTATTCATGGTTAATCCCACAATAATGCAGAAATAAAAAATTTCAATTTAATTATGCATTACCAACACACCTGCCAACATTACATTTTGAAAATGGTAATCACTACTGGAACAAGGGAAAAATATCAAAAACTTTCTCAATGGAATAGTGTGATTACTAATTATGTTTTACTTAATACTTGCTAATTACAGCTGATTAAGAGCCCTTTAAGTAGCACTCCGAGGATGATACAAAATCATTGAACTTTTTGAATACTCAAGCCAAACTTCTGCCCACTATAACCTTTTCTTTGTTGGATTCATTTGGTGAACAAAGCAGAACCAAGTACACGACTATTTTCCACTTTGACTACATAATACCAGAATGTAAGATTATAATCACTGTTTTAAAATGAAGCATTATACTTCAGACACCAGTCTCATAATCTCAATGATTAACTCTTTTACACTGAGTACCCCTTTAAACACTTTTCTACACAAGTCACTGTATTACATTCAAAATATAATTAAACATCTTTATAATCAATGTATGTGAATGAAATTAACACTGTAATGTAAGTTATGAATCAAAGTTTTATGTTATCTAAGTTTTAATTTGTTTATTTAAAAAAAAAACCTTTAAAAGACTACTTAAAACTTCAGATGTATTATTACATGACCCACAAGCTATGAACATTCTCTACTTGGACTCTCTGTATCTTCAATAATACATTGGTAGTTGAGTAGAAGTACATCTGGATAATAAGTTGCTTACATAACCTTTTGACTTGTACATTTCAAAGTACTCTGAATGAATACAGTTGAAACAAGTAGTAATTTTTTCAGCCCTTGACTGGTGCCATGCCCACCTTATAATTTGTTTGATCTTTATAGCTTACATGTAGAAGTTACATATACATGTATACAGTCATTAAAAAGAGCTCATTTTTAAATATACATCATACTTTGCATCAGTTCTCATGGCTTATGATATAATCCAGTACACAAAAATTTTGCCAAAGAATTGAGCACCTCTATCAGAGATACTGTAATATGCCCCAAGGGCACCATTAACTATATGTGAAAGGGAAAAGACCTGAAATTACGAATATAACCAAAAGAAAGTCTTTAAAAAGATTCTACAAAAAATTAAAAGATAAGTATTTTTTCTACTTCCTAATTATAATCATCTCATTGCATTGTATACTGATGATAATAGCTAGAGTTAGTGATATGGTAGAGAAAATAAAATATAAACATTTACCTTAAAAAACCTTTTGATATTCATTTAGGTGGTCCTAGAGATTATGCAAATGAAATATGAAAACTATAAGATGCACTCAATTTATTAAGAATTTGAGTGCAAGTAGCTACAATAGATAAATAACATATTTTTAGTAAGAACACTTATTTAACATAATGTCATTCTCTGTGTACAAGAGGATACATTATGAAATCTCAGAGTTATAGTATGTATTGTTGCACAAGTGGAATTCCGTAATGGTGTTCTGCAAATTGCACAAACCCGTTGAAAAAGGGTTAAAGCAAACTGATTCAACAGAAAAGACTAGAATCTAACTTATCCATATATCAAATATTATATAAATCAATGTTCAAATCAGACATCCTGAAGAAATTCTTGGAATTTTCAACTGAGCAAACACAAATGCCAATATCTATTTCTTAACAAAATGTTTCTTTCTTTAAATATGATTTTTAAACAAACACTCTGAAAGCACAAACAGTTGTTCAGACAATAATCTGAAAATTCTTTCTGAATTAATCCATTGAGGTATCTAGCAGGATACAAATAGTATTTCAATTGTGGAAAATTAACTTGAGTAAACAAACTCACCTAATTCCTGTCCTTCCCTCCATGGCATCCTTTCGTACTTTACTAGAAATTTTATAGGTTTATCTATAGTGATGGTTTCACTATTTACAGTAAGAACAGTTTTGTCTTGGCCCCTTTCAACCTTGATTTGCACTGGCTGTCCATTGGATATATCTTTAAATAAACCACAAATTGAACACATTCTAAATCATATGTCACAATATGCTTACTTACAACCAGAAGAAGATTTTCAGTCACATATAATAAATATTAAAATATGAATTTTTTTTAATCAACATATTAGCACTGAACTGAAAGTGTACTAATGATTTCAGCAATAAAAGATCTATAACTGACTAACTGTACAAGATACCATCTCTATTTTAGTGAATCATTCTGATTATTTTATATCAACAACTTAAACTATTATCAAAGATAAAGTATAAAAAAAAAGCTAAAAATGAATTTGGAAAAAAAACTGTAAAAAAGTCAATTTACCAGTGAATCAGGGGGAAAAAAACTGTAAAAAAGTCAATTTACCATTGAATCAGGGGGAAAAAACTTTTTTTTTTGCCAAATGGGCTAGTAGACCAATAATTTTTTGGTAAATTGACTTTTCTTTACTAAGTTATTGGTCAATATGTAGAATTATCCCTGATGAAGCCACAATGGCAAAACATAGGTTGAAATAAAAAAATTCTTATCTTCTGGAGAATAAATCATTTTTTTCTAACTCATTTAGTAAAAAAAAAGATACTAGCTTGCTCAATTAGCATACATAGATTAGAAGGTAGTGTATTTAATGCTGGATACCCTTGATAATAATCTATAAATTTTAAGATACACGCTTTTGTTACTACCAAATATTTCATGTACTCTTTGTTAAATTCCTGTTGCCCTCTATCAAAATCCTGTGAAATGACACGAATTTGAAATGTTATTAACAAGTATTTTTCCTACCTGGAACTTCCACTTTCCCTTGAACAATGGATTTCAGAGAGTTAAAAGTGAAAAACACCTGAGACCCTTTTTCAAAATGTAGCATAACAAAATTATTCAAATGGTCAAATGCATACAGCAAGAGAGCTTTCTTCAAAAATGTTCGAAAACAAAGCAAAATATTTTCTTCCAAAATTGGACTGATAAAATCTCCTTCTGTAACATTATGTATGTAGGCTCTTGGAGTTACAAAGGTCATTCCATTGGAGTTGACATCTAAATGGTAACAGAAAGTTCTTGTTAAAAAGATAATGGTTTAGAATGAAAATGCATTATTCAAAAAAATGTATGAAAATATGTCACATGAAGACTTCACTTTCATCAAGAATAAAAAACAATGGGTTTAACAAAAAGTTATATAAAAAATATATGTTTGGCTTTAACATCATACAGTAATTATTTATATATTCATATCTCCAAGTTTTGTTCTCCTAGCTCAATGCTCAAGTAATTAATGTCATTGCATGTACGATAAAATTTACTACATAAATTTATATTAGCCACGAAGTGCGGACTTAAAATATGTATAAAATAGTTTAAAGAAAGGGCTACAAATACCGAAAGTATAAAACTGAGTTGGGATTGTAGATTTTTTTTTTTATATTAATGTACATTACATTCTTCATTTCTAAGCAGGCAGTCAATTTAACATAAGAAATATCACTAGTATTGAAAAAATAGTAATGATAAAATTTACTATAAAGCATTTATTATTGTTGCTTTAACAGTCCCAAGATCTAATCTGTTATGGGTTACTTTAAAAGTCCATGCTCTACACTGTTAGAGGCTGCTTTAACAATGTATGCTCTATTCTGAGTTGCTTCAACAATACATTATGTACATTACAATGTGTTGTTTTAACAATACATTATGTACATTACAATGTGTTGTTTTAACAATACATTATGTACATTACAATGTGTTGTTTTAACAATTATTGTTAAAACGACACATTGTAATGTACATAATGTATTGTTAAAACGACACATTGTAATGTACACAATGTATTGTTAAAACAACACATTGTAATGTACATAATGTATTGTTAAAACAACACATTGTAATGTACATAATGTATTGTTAAAACAACACATTGTAATGTACATAATGTCCATTGTGTACATTACAATGTGTCGTTTTAACAATACATTGTGTACATTACAATGTGTCGTTTTAACAATACATTGTGTACATTACAATGTGTCGTTTTAACAATACATTATGTACATTACAATGTGTCGTTTTAACAATACATT